GGGCAGCGACTTAATACCTCAAATAATTCTTGAAGGTATAGAGAAAATCTCTAATAAATTGTTAGCCCAAAACACAATCTTTGGATGGATATTAAGTGGCCAAGTCACAGAAAAAATTAATTCCTTCACAACTCAAGTTGAAAATATTTCAAACGAATATTTAAATAATCAACTCAAAAATTCTGGGAAGTAGAAGAATTACCGCTATGGTCGTTATGTTGTGCGACTCCGATTCAAGCCCACCTTTCCAGAAACTATAGCTCTAGGCTAGCCACTCTAGAATATCAGCAGTCCAGCAATTCCTAAGCTTGAAAAAAAGCATGTGAATCAAATCAGCATACGATAACGTGATGGATGAATATCTGTACCTCAATCTTATGAAAAAGGCTGTACCATATGAAAAAATATCTAAAGGTAGACATTTATCTTTTTATTTTCCACATCACGGGGTAATAAGACCAGATAAAATCACAACAAAAGTACAAGTTGTTTTTAATGCTTCAAAGTGTACGAGTTCAGGCAAATCACTCAATGATGTACTATACACAGGGCCAACATAACAACCTGATCTCACGCTGCTATTACTAAATTGGGGCATGTTTATATATGTTTTCAATGGAGATGTAGAAAAAATGTATAGGCAAATTTTAGTATATAAAGATGACCAAGATTTCCAGCGGATAGTCTTCCGAAAATCAAGTAATAGTTCAATCAGCGACTACATCCTTTGGCGTCAATTGTGTACCCTATTTAGCCATTAGAACATTACATAAAGTGGCAAAAACCTGTCAAACAAATTTGCCTTTAGCAACTTCTGTGCTACAAAAACAAACATACGTTGACGATATTTTATCAGGTAGCCACAGTCTCTCATTAGCGTGCGAATCACTATCTCAAGTGATCAAAGCACTAAACTCAGCCGGGTTCCCCCTAAAGAAAATTACATCAAATCATTCTGAGATAATAAAAAACATAAAGAGGGAGGACTTATTAGATATAAACTTCCTTAAATTTGAAAAGGCCAGTACTACAAAAACTCTCGGGATTCAATAGAATGCGATAACAGATAAATTCTCATATACAATAAAGTCAATATCTGCAATATCCGCCATAACCAAACGTCAAATACTTTCTTCGGTGTTTAACCAAGTGGGTTCAATTTGCTAACAATCTACGATAGGTAAATTTCGCACCTGATTATAATGTAGAATTACATAGCTTCTGTGATGCCTCAGTTTACGTACGCACTGAATATGATAACAAAATATCTTCACGTCTTTTGGTAGCCAAAGCCAATTGCTCCCCTGAAGACACTAAGCCTGCCACGGCTCGAACTGAATGGTGCACTTCTGTTAGCGAAACTAGTTCCAATTGTCCAAACCCATCTGAAATAAACCAATCACAAAATGTACCTTTGATCAGACTCAGAAATAGTTTTAGCATGGTTAGAAAAACCACCATATACCTGGAAGACTTTTGTATCTAACCGTATATCTCAAATATTAGACTTAGTTGGCCCAGCACAATGGCAACATGTTGCAAGTGCAGATAATCCAGCGGACCTTGGGACAAGAGGCTGCAAAGCACTTCATCTCACCAACACTACACTCTGGTGAAACGGTCCAACGTGGTTAAGAGAATCACAAGAAGTTTGGCCAAAGTCTCCCGCTCGCAATATAATAGCTCCTGAAATTCGGAGAATTGAAAATTTTCATATCACTCCTGATGAAGATGATATATTACATCGATTTTCATCATTCCCAATCGCACTAAGAGTAGTCGCTTACATGTTTGAATTTATCCAAAGACTCAAACAAAAGGTTAAAGGAATAACAAATGATCCTTCCGTACAACTAACGTATTCCGACCTGCAACATGCCAAGTTCAGCCTTATTACATATACACAAACTCGCTACTTCACTCGGGAGAAATCAAAGTTAGTCGACGACGAAGACGACCCCTCGATAAGGGAAGCTCACTTCTCGTTTAAAATCCTTTTTTGGACACTAAAGGATTAATCCGGGCACATGGAAGACTAGTGAATTCCAGCCTTAGTTATAACGAACGACATCCAATTATAATTCCCGAGAAATCTCGTTTTACTTATTTATTTTTAATTTATCAAGCAGCAAATGGTCCGACTAGAATTTTATATATCGCGCCTAACGCCACAAATTAAAAGAACGATTTTCATGTGTAAACAATGCACATTGTACAAGCACAAAAAAAAGCACTTTGCCACCTGAACGCTGCAATTTTGCTCTTCCCTTTACCATTACTGGGGTCGATTTTGCTGGACCTTTCCAGATAAAGGCCTCTATGTTAAGATCTTCCTCATTCAGAAAAAGGGTATGTGGCTGTCTTTGTATGCTTTCCGACAAAGGCAGTACACTGCGAGCTATGTTCGAATCTGTCTACTTCAGCTTTTTTCGCAGCATTTTTGCACGCTTTGTCGGACGACGCGGATTTCCATCAAAAATTATGAGCGACAATGGGAAAAACTTTATCGGAGCTCAAAGAGTCACAGAAAAAGAGTTTGTAAGATTTACTAAAGACGTCTCCCCAGAAATTGTTAAATATACCCCCTTGTTCTCCCCACGTGGCTGGACTCTGGGAATCAGCTGTAAAAAGTTTTTAAGTCCCATCTAAAGAAAACGGCAGGTAATCATAAATTCAATTATGAGGAATTTACCACACTACTCGCTCGTATAGAAGCCGTACTAAATTTAAGACCCATCTCACCACTCTCGCAAGATCCCTCCTTCCTGAAGAGGTGCACCATCTTCAAGAGCATGAAGCCTGCTCAACGTCAACTGATCGCAAGAGCCCACGGCCATTGTATGACTTGCTTGGCAGATAATCACTCCACCTTTGACTGCATGATCGACGGATCGTGTCAATATTGCCAACGACCGCATGACACATTGTTCCATCGATTCCCTCGACGAGCAAATCCGTCCACAATGCACACCAGTCACCGGCACAGACAACAAGGAAATCCCATCCAGCGCCAAAGAGTTCATCGCCCGAAGCCATCCAGAGGGGCACGCTCACGGCCGCCTCCACCACCCTATGGTTATCGCAACCAGCGACAAAGGGGGGCCAGGATGTTCATGCGACTCCTGATCCCGCGACATTTTGCGACTAAGTACACAACCCACCGTACAACATCATACAATACAACATAACACAATGCAACATCATACGCTACCCACAACACACCACATCACTCACCAACACAACCATATACAATTAACCAACCACACTATATACCTACACTATACACCTACACTGCAACCACCGTATTTTCCACCACCCGAATGATCAAAAGGGACCAGTCAGACCGGGATGGGCACTCTTTTCGATTTCATCCGTGACCTATAAGGTTCTACATTAAAAACGTTCCCGCAGAGTGATTTCCGACGCATAAAATAAACGTGAATTATAAATTGAAAAGTGTATTATAAATTATTTAAAAACACAAATATAAGAAAGTGAACTTTTTATATTATAAAGTATTATCAAAATATATATTATATAATATTAACGTTTAAAAAATTATCTAAAGAGTTTTTCACTAAAAGTAGTGCAATAGTAAAAGTGAGTATAACACCGCACCCAAGGTGAAAAAATAAGTGAAGTCAACAAACTCGACTGGGCAAAAAATATGGTCTAAGTCTAGACCCTTTGTGTATCTCCATATATATTGTCAGAGATAAAGAGATGCCTAATGTATGTGAACGGAATAATTTGTTAAAACAAGGAAAATAAAAATACGCAAAAACGTTTTTTATTGTATACAAGGAGTCCCTCGCTCCTCTTAGTGTCACAAAGAAGGCCATAAGCTATGGCTCTTGGAGGGTGGTAACTTTTTGATTTTATCTCATTTTCCGTTCAACCGTTCCGCTGAAGAAATGCTACTGGGGGAGCTTAGAGAGGGCTATACGTCCTTCTTGAACCTTTTAGATGAACGTAACCCCGGGTCCCGATAGCATCATACCGCTGTAACTGTAGCATATGGTGCAGGGTCGTCTCATATATCGTCTTATTTGCAACAGAACAGTCGTAGCGGGGTAGACGTAGACTTCCCGAAAGGTAAATTTGGGCACCCTGCAGGTACTTTTCCCACTGCTTTAGATATTGGTGGTTAACGAACTACTCGAGGACGACTCACAATGTCGTTCTTATAGTTAAAGGAAAATTCCTAAACACCGTCTACGACCTTGCCGAAGCGTACCTAAACGAGGTATCCAACTGGGCATTTAGAAGCAGCTTAGACGTTAACCTAAGTAAAACGTTATTTAAAAGGAGGTATAAGATCCCAAACGTGCCTCTCCCCTCCTTCGGATTTTCGCGTATTCAATATGCTTATAAGGTGAAATACCTAGGGCTTATCATTGATACAAAGCTTTCATGGTGGCCAAATATTAAGGAGGGAATAAGGAAGGCATCGGTTGCCTTATATTGCTGTAATAAAGCTACTGGGAAAAGATGGCGACTCTCAGTAAAGGTAGTGATTTAGCTCTACGAATCCGTAGTCAAGCCAATAATGCTCTATAGTGTATTAATCTGGTGGAGGACGCTCGAAAAGGCTACACTTTTAAAAAACTTGAACGTGTTCAAAGAACGGCTCTGATCGGGATCTTCGGTGCACTGCGAACTACTCCAACAATAGCTTTTCGGACATTTAGGCAGGTGTATTGCTTTTTCTAGAATCAACCTCTTAACCGAACCTAACCCGAAAGCCTTATAAAGGGTGATTTAATATATTATATTCCAGCAAAAATGTATAGAATTTTAATTAGCGCCGGGTAATTTAGAACAAGTCTTCCACATATTGCTTTCCTTTACAAAAGCTTGACAATTCTTTTACCTTCATACAAAATTGAAATGGTCTTAGCTTATTTAGACTCCTAGATAATAATAAACTATTAAAAAGAACTTAAATCAAACTATATAAAAATATGCTGTAAAATTAACAAATGTTTTCACGATTTTACCTGCCAACATTGAGTTAAAAATTAAGGCTGGAAAATAGTGATGAAAGTAGAGAATACGGCCCATTGTCCAAAAAGGTACGTAATGTGTAATCCATCCGATGAATAACCAAAATGCTGCATTTAATGATGTTTGTTGTATTTTTTGTTTGCCTATAATTAATTAGAAATTAACTGAAATGTTAATCACTTTAAATTTTTATTAAAATCGTATTATTAAACTTTCATCCGGATTACTCTCTATAGGGTATAATTCGTGATTAATTAGTCTCCACCTTTATCTTGGATTAGTTGAATCCTTGTTTACATTTCTCTTCAATAATATCGTATATAAGAAATTACTCTTTATACCATTTAGTGGCCCTCCGGGTGCTATTAATACATTCATAAGACAGGAAAGGGAACAGTTCGTTCCATATAAGATAAAAGATGTCATTAGTCACATGTTCCTTTGCGACTAATCGCGGACTTGTGTTTTTTTTTTTTGCCGTGAGAAAACATATGTTCAGGAAATACTCCCCTTAATTTGATTGACATATCTCAGATATTGTCATATATGTATATGTAAGTAAAATCCTAATATTTGGTATATGATTCCTAATTTTCGCCAAGTTGTATTGGAACTACAAGTTCACCATATTTTATTAAAATATCTCACATATTTTAGACAAATACAATTACATTGGGCTGATCTTCTCAGATTTTTATCAATGGAATTAGGAGGATCTTAACCAATGTTGACTGCTTTTAGCTTGGTTTTTTCTACTTTCGCTAGATATATTGGGTATTGTAAAGTAAAGTCTATAAGAAAAAGAATTTTTTCTCGATTTCGTCCATTTTCAAACTGCAACGTTAGGATCACTGAAATATTACGAACGAAATGTAGTACAAAATGGTGTTTGTGATACTCACTTTAACTGATTGTATATTTTAAGAAACGGAAGTAATTTCTTATAATTAAACTATTTGGTTTTAATTTTAACATTTTTTATCTTTATACGTTAGCAAAAACCAAATAGCTTATTGCGAAAATAAACTTTGCAGTAAAAGTGTTATGTAACGTCAAACGTTTGTCGTTGCATACCGACGATGTACAAATACTACAGTTATACAGTATCGATACTTTCCAGTAGTACGTTTTCGAACTCAGCCTTTTCGTCCATTTTTGTACTTATGCAAGATGTTGCTACAGAGTTTTGCTCACCTAACGGTTGTTTGTATCGCCTAAAATTAATCGAGCTAATAAAGGGTTGTATTTAGCCCCGCCCACTCCCCATGTAACGGTACTGTTAAAAACTACTACTTGTAAAAGCGCGATAAATCAAGCGCTAAACACGCCAGAGACATTAAATTGTATCTCTGCGATGGTATAAGATGACTTTAGGAACCACGTTTGAAATTAGACAGTGGGCGTGGCATCGTCCACTTTTAGATGAAAACCAATATATTGGGATCTGCTTAACCAATTTCAACAAAATTCGGTACATAACATTCTTCTCATAATTCTATGTTATAGTACGAAAATGGGCGAAGTCGGATTACATCCACGCCTATTTGCCATATAACACCATTTTATATTCAATATGATTTTTTCACTTTCCAGTATGCAAATCAAGCTACAATGATTATATCGAGCCAAAACTTAGCGTGAATAATACGTTTAAAGTATACCTTGTGACCAAAAATTGTCTAAATCGAACCAAAACTGTTCAATCCCCTAGGTACTGAATATGTGGACCCCAGTGTATATAGTTGACTTTTTACCGAAAATATTGGTCAATGCGTGAGATTTATAACTGAACTTCTTTTCCTGATAAAATTATATCTGAATTTAAAAATAGGTTGAATCAGGTCAATACTAGCCTTAGCCCCATATTCTTAATTTCATATTTTCAAAGTTCCGGGCGACTATATACCGCAAATATCGGCCAATATGTCAGTTATCTCAATAAAACTTAGAGAACGTGTTTTACTAATAACAGTTGATCTTTGTGCTTAAAATGGATAAAATTGTGCGAAAACTTGACCTATCCCCCATGTAACTAATATCAGGATTTTTGAACATCCGGCTGACTTTACTCCATAGGAATGGTGATGGTATTTGAGGTATTTTAATGAAACCCAGGGAGCATATTATTAGTCTGTGGCATGTTAATAGTATGTGGTACTCGCAAAAATAGATAAAATTGGGTCGATACTACCCAACTGCCATATACTTTTAATGATTTTCGTTATTGTAAAAAGTTTTATGCCGAATATGTCGGCCAATGAGTATTATTTATATTACATAAAATTGGTTTAAAATATGTCCTCGAGAATACCTGAGCAATGTCAAAACTAATGCAATTTCTCTCTCCCCAGTATACCCCACAAAATGATTTCCGTCTTTCCTGTATTTAAGCCGTTCAGGTTGGTCAAAATGTGTGATATTTTAATGAAATTAAATGGAAGAGTTTTCTTAAAATGTGATTTAGCACTGAATTCGAATGGCATTGGTCTATACCTTGGTGTAAACCTCATATCTCTAGTATAATGAATTCCGATCCTCTGCTTGACGTTTCCCATATCAACACCATATCACATACATACTTACACATTTGAAGGGGTTTTTAAGTAAGAAGTAAAATATAATAAAATTAAGTGAATGTACGACCTTCAAAATAAGTTAATACGAGGGCTGCTATGTATATAGCTGGCTGGCCTAGGCAACACTAAGTCTGAGATTTCCATTGGAAAGTTTGACATTTTTTAGCATAACATCACTCAGAACGTTTTGTCATTTAATCGTGAATTGTTTTATTTACAGGGAATTAAAAAATTCATCTCGGCCAAAAAATGGAATTAGCTCGTGAACATATTCGCGCGATCATTTTTCACAACTTTCGACATGTATTATCACGACAAGAGTGCATCGATGAACTAAAATCTTTGTATGGCTATGAAGCACCATCCTATAGCACTGTGAAAAACTGGTACAACGAATTCAATCGTGGCCGACGCTTGCTCAAAGACGAATTCCGTGAAGGTCGTCCAAAAACAGCCGTTGTGCCAGAAAACATCGATGCCGTACGTGAACTGATAATGCAAGACCGTCATGTAACATACCTTCAGATAGAGGCATGCCTATGCATTTCTCCCACCAGCATACATTCGATATTGCATGAACACCTGGCCGTAAAAAAGGTTTGTTCTCGTTGGATCAGGCACAATTTGACAATCGCTCAAAAAAAGGCTCATGTGGATTGGTGTAAAGAAATGCAAAAAAATACGATCGCGGTGCTTCAAAAGACGTTTAGAAGTTCGCCACAGGTGACGAATCATGGATCTATGCGTATGAGCCCGAAACAAAACAGCAATCGACCGAAAAAAAAAGAAAACTATTTTCGTTGATAAATATTCGTATTTTCATTATTAGGCCAGAAATATTATATATATAGCAGCCCTCGTATGATACAAAATTTTATTGTAATTTATTTGCGATTTCATCGAATAATGGATGTTACATTCTTTCGCAACATGTTTTAATATAAAGTTTTATCAACACCTGAAGGAATTTCCGAGTTTCGAGTTTTGATTCTTTTAAGTTGTAAGAGTATAAAATATTCGGTAACACCCGAATTTAGAGCTTCCTTACTTGTTTGAATTGGTTTGTATTTGTAGTAGTAATTCAACTGCCATATGAGACGTCTGCCAATAGGGATGACGTAATTTCGACAGCAACGCTTGAAAATTGTCCAAAATTATTACGCAAATTTACGTTCTCGCAAAAAACGTTGAAAGAACGTTCATCGAAAAATCTTCTCAGATGAGGACCATTCCTGACTTAAAGGCTTCGTAAACAAAAACAATTGTCTCTATTGGAGTAGGTCAAGCCCTCATGTGGTTCAGGAAACGCAATTGCATCCCCAAATATTGACCATTTGATGCGAATTGTGGTACGGCGGCGTCAACGCGCTTATTTCTTTCTAAATGAGGTGGGAAATGCCGTTACTTTCAACAGCGAGCGGGATTTGATGAAATCTTCTAGATTATTTTCTCTGGGGGTTCTCAAACGTTTACGCCAGTCAACCAACAGCGGTCGTGGAGCTCGAAGATCCGGTTCATCGGAAATTGGCGTAAATTTGTGGAGATACGCGGTCATTTGGCCAACATTTTCATCCAATCATAAATGGTGTTAAATTATCTGAATAACAAAAAACAGAACCTATTGTGACCAAATTTAAGTTTTTATTTTATTTTAACATGACATCGTTGTTGTTGAGCTTCGCTTTCGTACCATGCCATGAAATGTCCAAATAAAGGGTGGTTCCCTACTTTTTTTTAAGAAGAAAAAACAGAAAATTCAAATTTAATAAAGAATGTTTATTATAATTCGAAAGAACATTTTGTATCATTTATTTTTTGAAGATTATCTCTTTCAAATGTTGGTCGCGGCTACGTTTCAGATGATCCATCCGCTGAGTCCATTTTTCGATGACTCGTTCGAGCATTTCAACTGGTAACTGACGAACAACATGCGTGATGTTTTTACCATGGTCTGAATCGAAGACTTAAGACATATTCCCACAAAAAAAATATAACGGTGTGATATCACACGATCTTGGGGGCCAATCGGGTTTCAATTTCAGGCATTAAATAGTCGGTTAGCATGGCGTGATAGCGGTCGCCATTGACGGTTACGTTCTTACCGGCATCATTTTTAAAGAAATATGGACCGATGATTCCACTGGCCCACAAATCACACCAAATCGATGTTTTTTCTGGATGAAATGACAGTTCTTGAATCTCTTCAGTTTTCTCTTTGTCCCAAATGCGACAATTTCGCTTGTTTACATACCCATTGAGCCAGAAATGGGCCTCATCGCTGAGGAAAATTTGGCTCGAAAACGTCGGATCAAACGGCGCTGAATCGACTCTCTACGGTCTTCGTATACACTCTCAGCTACAGCCGCTATATATTTTTCGCTGCGTGCTGGACATGACCTATTCGGTCAAATATTATCTAGTATTGAATGCTGGGCCTCAATATGGGTGATGGTGTTGCGAATAGTACGTTCAGTAGGTCGATTATGTTGACCATAAGTTGAGCGAAGCGCGCGAACACACATTTTTTAAAAAACGTGAATTTTCGTAATAAAGTTAAACGATTTGTAAACGTTGTTCGTACGTAAGTCTTTCCATGATGAAATGTCAAACAATACTGGACAAAAATAACATAACAACTTGATACGACTCACGCGTGATCTGTCAGAACAAGGCTATTGAAAAAAGTAACTTTTCTTGGATCACCCCATCCACACTAAAAGTGGAAATGGTGTTGAGCTGTGATGGCAGCCGTTATGTGATAATCAGTCGACGTATATTTTTAACCAACCAACCTATTAACTGTGATTGACATATGTAGCTTTTGATATACAAGTTATGAAACATTTAGTATTGTTATAACATTAATTCTTACACTCTCACAACATCTTGCTATAGTATATATTGAGTTGTATAGCTTTGTTCATCTAACGGTAGTTTTAGCACCTAAAACTTATCGATATAGATATAGAGTTATGGACATATAAATGATCAGGATGACAAGACGAATTGAATTCCGAGTGATTATCTGTTTATTTGTCCGTCCATCTGTCCGTCCGCGCCAGCAATAACTTGACAAAAAATTAAGATATCTTGATGAAACTTAGTACACGTATTCCTTGGCAAGTGGTTGTTATTCCAGATGACCCGAATCAGTCCATTGCCATGCCTACAAAATGCCGTTAAGCGAAAATTTACAAAGAGCTACAACAAAGCTTTTTTCTGGAAAATTTCTTTATTTGCAGTGAAAATTGGTTAAATCTGACGATAACCATGCCCATTACGCATATAACGGTTAAGTTGAAAACTAAATTGGATAAGGGGCGTGCCATAGCCCATTTTTGGGTCCTAATGTTATGTTGGGAAATTTGGCGAAATCAGGGTACAGCCACGCCTACTTCACATGTATCACCATTTACAATTTTATATGATTCTTTTCTTTTACCGTATATGAATAGAAAGATAATAATGTTATCAAAATAAAATTATGCATATTTGCGTGCAAAAATGGTCGAAATCGGACCATACATTTTCCAGTTCCCACATACCGAATATCTGGAGCTCAGTGCTTACGGCTGAAATTTAAACGAAAATATCTATCTGTCTGCGAGGTACCTTAATGAAAATCAGAGAGCATCTTTTTCTGGAAGTAATATATCGTGTTGTCAATAATGGAATACTTTCATACTCCCCTAACACACATACTTGTATGTATACCTAATAACGAGTCTCAAAAATCCAATCCAATTTTATTGTTTTCATAAACATAATGTAATTTAGTGATGAATTAAATCGGTGTAGACCGTGATCTAATCCCTATCCTGTATAAATTAAATGAAGCCTCCTTGGCTGAGTTTTCTCCACATGTATGGCATTTGAGTTAATTAGGTTAGTTTAAATCAATATCTTGGATATGAAGAAAAATGAAGTAATTAGACCAAATGAGTCTACAATCTAAAATAAGTTAATAATATTGTATCAATATGATTGTAATCCTTTCACCCTTTCGTTGAATAATGAATGTTAAAACTTACATTGAAACTAATGTTTGAAATAAATAAATAAAAATAAATTGTACAAACTTGTATATATTAGTTATTTTTAATTTTTATATCATATAATAGGTAATTCGGTTTAAAATATATTACCAGTATATGAGTATGTTTCTTCCGCGGACTGCATTGCTGCTCGTTCCATTAATCGTCGGCCATCTAAACGTCGTTTTTTGATAATAGTGACTGAAGACACGAATATAAATAATAGTAGAAAAGCCAAATTACTCCACCAAATTATAGGATTTCCAAGTAGATATATACGGTAAGAGCTTCCAGAAAAGTATTGTCCCTGTGCAATTCAAAAGAATAGTAGGACATTAACAAATTTTTCAAAAGTAAAATAGAATATATGTACATATATACTAAGAATGGAGCGAAATTTTTTTTTATTTTTTTCCTAGCTTGCGAGTAAAATCTTTAGATTATAAAAAAAGAAAATTTTTGGACAAAAAAATTATTTTTTTAACATCTGGAGGCGCACTCAGGTTTAAAGTAAATTTCGAGTAAAAGTTTTTTTTTGCCAAAGAAAAATTATTTTTGGTTTAAACTCTTTACATTTATAAAAAAATTACCGAATGTGACGGTTTTTGACGCAAAATTTATTTTATCGCTTAAGGAAAGAATGTTGTCGTTTAAGACTTTTTTTTTTGTTAATAACTTTTAATTGGCCAGAAAGAGGACTTCCACACTTATCAATAATTTTTTACGAAATAAAAATTTTCTTTTTGTATAACCTACAAATTTTATACCCGGCTAAGCAAAAAAAAAAAATTTTTTTCGCTCACCCTAATATACATACATACATATATTTGATTATAATAAAAATCAACTTTTTACACGTATTGGACAAAAAGTTAGTAATAAAATATAATATTGACTTTTCCTCTCTATTGATAGGGGTTTTGGTTATGCCGTAAATTAAGAAATTACACAACGCTTAATGATTCCGTACAAAAATTGCGACATGAATTGATTTCGCAACGTCTAACGAATGGTCGTTCCGCGATATCTACAAGCTCAAGCTCTCATAAAAATCCTTACTTTTTGTACGTACTACTTGTAGATAGCAGAAACTCGCGAAAAAGGGTGGGAACGAATTTTCTGTCTACGAACCAGCAATATTAAAAGAATCTAAAAAGAAAGTAGTAAGCCCTTTTGAAAATTAATTAATTAAAAGTTAGAACAGCTCTCATATAAAAATCTTGTTCAATTCTCCTATCTTGGCATCCTTCCAAAATAAGCAAAAAAAAAATTCGATCTCAACCACTCTCACTACTCATTCTGAGCTTTTTCAGTTCTATCACTTTGTATACCTACTTAACTGCATATATACATATATTTTTTTGTGTTTTACAAATTCTTTTATTTTAATTTAAATTTTTGTTTCTCTCAAACTAAAGTTTTTCTTTAAAATTCACTGCGTTTCGAAATACACTTTCTATTCACTATTTTAGTACACTTTTGGTAAAATAATTTTTTGTTCACGTGTTGTCCTCTGGGGGAGCTCGGTCGACTGAAAAATGAATTGCAACGGACGGTGATTGACGCTGCTGCTCGTGCGGACGAAAATTGAAAAAAATGGCCAGCTAGACGCACCTGTATCTCTTTCCGTTCTCGGAGCGGCCACGGGTGCAGCTGATGCTCCTGGTATGCTAACAATGGATGTCACAGTTTTTGGAGTACTGGCGATATCTTTTCCGTCCATTGCTATGGAAAGATATATGTTAAAAACGTGGTTTTGTTTTTAATTTTGATTATGCTACAAAACGATTACATTATGAATTAAATTTCGACCCAGTCGCCATCCAGTAGGAGGAAAACAAACGCCGTTTGTGATGACACATTCTCCTACACTGGGTTCTTTCTGGCTTGTTTTCCACCGATCGCTTATGGAGATACTTGAGGTAGTCTCCCTTCCATCTAAGGCTGAATTCATAATAGATTATCTTAATATTTTCCCATCGGTTTATTAATGTGAGTGAGTCTCCTTTCGCCTTAGGTATGGCCAGAAGGGGAGCTCCTCTGAGAAAATGTCCAGGTATTAGAGCTGTAAAATCGGAGGGATCTTGCGAGAGTGATGACATTGGCCGTGAACTCAGAAAGGTTTCAATACGAGCGAGTAATGTGTTAAACTTTTTTATTTAATGATTACTGGCTGTTTTCTTTAAATGGGAAGCTAAATAAATCTTTTAACTGCTGATTCCCAGAGTCCTCGCATGTGAGGTGCAGTTGGAGATGTACACTGCTGTGGGATACACAATAATATTCAATTTATTTACTTTACAAAAAATGATATAATGTGATTGCATACAAAAATAGGGATGACGTGCTTACAGCTGGACGATGCGTGATGAAAAGGGAAAATGGAGGTACGTCAGCATGACAGATAGTCTAGGTTGAACTCTTGCAGAGTTGCATTTGTGATTGCCACATCACTCCCCCCTATACAGAAAAGCAAAATCGTACTCGTCGTCCCGATTTTGTCTGATACTCTTTTGGCTGAGTTGTTTGATTCGACGGATTTTGGCTATCCTCGGCGACGAAGGCTGATTTCAACCGGTCGATGGAGATGTTCACGTCCTTTCCCTGGATTTTGACTTTTAAAAACTTGTCGTTGCGTTCGACTACTGGGAATGGTCCCTCGTATAGTGGTTGAGGCGGGTGACGAATTGCGTCATTGCGCACAAAAACTAATGGTGTTGTGTGCAGATTCTTTTCCACGAATGGGGCATGAGCTGAGTTAATTGTTGTTGGTGACGGTGTCATTGCCTGCATGCGTATGCCTAAATTTCCGATAAATTCACCTTCGGTGGCGTTGTGAGTGTGATCTTCGGAAAATAGCTGACCAGGTAGTCGAAGAGTGTTGCCGTAAACCATTTCTGCGGGTGTCGCTTTTAAGTCATCTCTCCACGAAAACGAAACGAAAGCCTAAGAGAATTAGTGGGGAACTTCAACCCACTTGTTCGTCATGTGTCATTTTATCGCTACTTTCAAGGATCTATGCCATGTACGCGGTGGTACGTAAGTGTTTTATGCCTAAAATCCTGGCAAGGTCTCAGAAGAGTGCAGATTCAAATTGTCTTCCCTGGACCGTTGTTACTCTTGTCGGTACTCCAAATCTCGCGATCCAATGTGTGTTGGAATTAAAAGCAATTGTCGGCTAAAAAAAAAAAAATCGGGAATAACGATCGAATATTGTAAAGCAGTATGGATATCCTTTGCAAAGTGGTAATGGTTCGACGTTATCCATGTTTATGTGGTCAAATCGGTGATCCGGTAAAATTAATATTGATAGGGGTGCTCTGTGGTGGCGTTGTATTTTGGCTCTTTGGCATGGAATGCACTGTCTGGACCATAAGCGGCAATCTTTTCGGAGACCAGGCTACACGAACTTCTCCGCGATCAATTTTGTGGTTTTGGAGGCGCCCTTGTCTGCCATGTTGTGTATGGAGTCGAAAGCTGTTTTGCGAAACGAAGGAGTTAGGTATGGTCTGGCTTTGCTGGTGCTTACATCACAAAATATTTCTATGTCTGTGCCTGGAACCGTAAAATGCTTAATTTGTAAGCTGGAATTCGAATTTAGTAATTCGTATACACTTCGAATGGTTGATGATCAAACCGTATTCGCGCAGTTTTTCAAACACTAATTGCAGATGTTGACGATGTTGGTTTATATCCTTCGACGATATAAAAATGTCATTAAGTTATGGCCAGGCGAAATCGTATTCGCGGTAGACGTGATCTATGAATTTGTAGAACGTTTGACTGGCATTTCTTAAAGCAAAGCACACGAAAGGTAATTCAAACATTCCAAATGGTGTGGTGATTGCTGTTTTTGGTACATCGGTGGGTTCGACAGGAATCTGGTGGTATGCCCGGCGCAGATCGAGTGTGGAAAAAATTCTGCAACTGCAGTGAGTGCGTGAAGTTGGGCAAGTGTGAAAAGGGGTACCTGTCAGGTTCGTTGACAACGTTTAGTCGCCTGAAATCCCCGCATGGCCTCCACTCGCCGTTTTTCTTTTTTCGCCATGTGTAATGGGCTGGCTCATGGGTTGCGAGATGGACGACAAATGCCTGCATCTAGCATAAACTGTATCTCGGCTTTTGCTGCTTTTAGTTTCTCAGGTGATAAGCGTCACGGTTTGGATAAAACTGATGGCCTTTTGGTTGGCCGATGAAGGCTTGTGATACGTCGGCAACTATGAAATTCCAGGAAAATTGGCGGCGTAGACCCAAATTAACATACAGCTTTTATGGTGGACCTGTTTGCTGCATAGAGGGAGTTACTTTTGTCAGGATGTCTACGTTGTTGTTGCGTAGGTGGAATTACGCTGACTTCGGCTCCCGTGTCGATAAGAAATTTCATTGCAGATACCTTATCTCGAACTATTAAATGGCGGTTTGCGTTGTTGAGCCTGTCGTCGACCGCCATTGACGACAGACTTATTAGTTTAACTTTCTTGTGCAGGGGCTGCGACATTTTTTAGCTTCGTTACCAAATTTTAGGTAGTACCAACTCAAATCGCTCAAGCTGTTGTTTTGTGTGCCGGAGCGTGACGGAGCACCGTTCCTGCTTGGACTTCTAGATCGACGATTTATGTTAGCTTTTATCGAGGCGATTTCTTTCGTGATTCAGTCAGTTGTTGCTCGATGCTGATTTTCGCGTGTGTGGTTGTGTGTTGGGCTTCAACCACGTGTACATGTGGTGTGTCGCTAACCTCACTGATTTTATCTGCGAGCAGAGCTACTTTGTCCAGGGGATCGTTGCTGATGGAAATTATTAGTCGCATGTTGGAAGGTAACCGATTCATCCAAACAGACTTGAGTATGTTGTCGTTTATTTCCTTGCCTGCTAAACTACGCATCACGCGCAAGAGTTGTGATGGGCGCAGGTCACCAAGCTCTTGTTCTTGTAGTAGCTTCTTTACACGTTTTTGCCCGGAGTCTGCGAACTACGTAATTATGCGATTTTTTAGTGTTGGATACATGTCGCTGTTCGGTGGATTGAGAATAATGTCACTTATTTGTGATAGCACTTTTTTATTAGTGGCTTTAGTCGGATCATTTGCTGCATCAAGCAATATTTATCATGTTAGCTGATGGAGATATGTTAAATATAATGTAGTAAAACGTACTTTCTGGAGTTTGTCAGTCTTCCATTAGCACGGATCAATCTCTTTGAGTCCAAGAATTGGTTCAAAATGAGAACTGAGCTTCTTTTTTCGAGTGGCATTGCTTCGACCAATTCCAATTCTCACTCCTAAAATAGCGGGCATGTGTTTATGATATAAGACAGACTTTAGCATTTTGCAGATCTGATTGCGTGAGTTGTGAAGCAGATTAATTTGGAACTCTTTTAATTTTTTCTTTGACTCTTTAACTGAATTTGAGTATACAAGCAATTACTCTTAGTGTCCTTGGAAATGAAGAGAATCTATTCAATATATCATCACCATCGTGCGTGATATGAAAACGTTCGATTTTCCGACTTTCCGGAGGTAGGGCCTCATTTAGTTCAAGTCATGGCAGGATTAATGTTTTCAAGGGTGCAACTTTGGCTTTGACATCACAGAAGCCGGGTACTTCATGATTGTTAGGGGTGAAATTTAGCCATCGAGGGATTCGAATATCTGTGATTCTATGTAAACTATTAGCAAATTGAACCCATTTTGTTAAACGAATAGGTTTTACTTGCTCATCCCATTCAGTGCCATCTTGCCACAGTTCTAAAATTTGGATTTTTGCTTGTATCATTACTAACGAAAGCCATTCTGCGGGTTCGAAGAATTTTACCACCGAAAAGAGTGTTTGTCGTTCGATTATGGCGGACATTGCAGATAGTGGCTGAATAGAATATGAGAATTGATCTTGTTGCGTCAAGCAACTTTTCGACTTTTTGTAGGTCAGTGAGAGTGACTCCAATTCAATATCCCAGAGGACCATCGGCAAATGGACAGGACGAAGTCAGCTCTAGTTGCTGCAAATACAAAGCAGCCGACTTGTCAGCAGTGCAAATCAAAGGACCATTATTTAACCGCCTGTCCCACTTTAAAAACTCTCTCTGTACAACAGAGATTTCAGTTTGTCAAATCGGTACCCTTATGCATAAATTGTTTGCGTAAGAGACATACGGTCTCCAAGTGCAGGGCGGATCGATGTCGCGTGTGTAATCGATCCCACCATACGCTACTGCACCAGTATCCCGTTTCATTTGCTGTTGCACCTCCATGCATACAACAAGCGTACCAGATCGTGTAATTTTGGTTACAGCAGTTATTCTTATGAGGACCAGCTGTGGAGAATACCTGCCCGGATTCGACGTCAAAACAGGACGTTAAATATTATAGGAATTGGAAATTGCAACGCGAAAGTCGGGGCAAAATTAAGCGAGTTTGTTAAGTCCCGGGTAAATATTTTCGGCGGAATTCTGGATTATGCCATGTATTTCGGCAAATCATCCAGACCACAACATTGACGTTAATGGCTGGAAATTTCCTCACAGTATTAAATTGGCGGATCCAGAATTCCAAAAATCCCAAAAGATTAATATGTTATTGGGAGCAGAAAGCTTTTTCGATCTGCTAGTTGTTGGCCAAATTAAAAGTGGTCCTAATCAACCAACGCTACAGAAAACTCTTTTGGGATAAATTGTGTCTGGCAAATACGTCAGCAGTGTAAGTCCTCCTCCCGAAGTAAATATCACATATGCCAAGCTGAAGAAGACTTAAAGTCAATAAATTCAGTAGTCCAAAAGTTTTGGGCTCTGGAGGAACTTCCTTCAGAAACAAATGGCAACAAATTCACACCAGAAAAAAAAGAGTGTGAAAAGTTTTTTGTTAATACAACTCAAGTATTACCTTCAGGAAGGCTTCAAGTCAGAATTCCCTTTGAAGCTGACCGTAAGTTACTCGGTCACTCCTATGAAACCGCAGTTCGGCGGTTTCAGGCCCTGGAGAGAAGAACATTGAAAGCTCCAGAACTTCGTAAAATGTATCTGGACTTCATGAATGAGTATAAAGCACTGGGTCAGATGAGCTCAACAAATAATAAGATCCCGAGTGAGCCACACTATTTCATTCCGCATCAGTGCGTTTTGAGGCCAGAGAGCACAACAACAAAATTACGAGTTGTCTTTGATACGTCGAGTCGTACCTCTTTTCAAATTTCATTAAATGAACTTTTTATGGTAGGTCCAACCAACCAAGAAGAATTATACTCAACTCTTCTTCGTTTTCGCTTACACAAGTACGCTTTAACGGCAGACATTGCAAAAATGTACCGCCAAATAATTATGCATTAAGAAGATAGAAACTGTCAGCTTATTGTGTGGAGAAAGCATCCCTCAGAGTAAATTCAGAATTTTCGACTTAACACCGTCACTTACGGCACTGCGCCTGCACCATTTCTCGCAACACGGTGTTTACAAATGCTCAGCGATGCTAATACAACTAAGTATCCACTCGGTTCATTGGCCATAAATAGAGACTTTTATGTTGATGACTTATTTACAGGATCTGAAAATTTTGAGTCTCTAGATCTTATAGGAAGTGAGGTAATTATAAAATAAATTTTTCGACAGTGACTGCACTGAAAAGTCATTATAACTTAATAACTTAATAATTAGCCCCACTAGTCACCAAATCAAAAATCTTATTACAAGAGCTTTGGATCCAAAAACTAGATTGGGATGAGTCGATTACATTGCGCCTTGACACTAGCTGGCCAACTTACTGCAGCTCTCATCTATTAGCATTCCTCGGTCCGTAAACCTAGAGTCGAGTGCTATATGCCAAATACACGGCTTCTCCGATGCTTCAATAAGAGCGTACGGATGCTGCATATACATACGAAGCCAATCTGCTAGTGGTGTCAAATGT